TTCATGTCTTCGCTTGAGGGGGAGTGTTGCGGTTACTTAAACTGTGTTAGTATTGGGCCTGGTTGGGTCTCGTCTGATTCGTTGGATTAGGGTTTTAACCCTAGGTTTATCTATATAAGCTTAGCTATCGGCTTGTGTGATAGCAAGTCGTCAATATGTAATCCTAATAAGAGGTTAGTCGTGAGCTCTTATGAGCTCACCGTGGATTAGTCTCAATCATTCAATCGATCGAGGATACCACGTAAAATCGTTGTCTCTTGCGTTTTTCATCTTCCGCACTATCAAATTCTACAAAAAAATCTCCCCCTCACACACATTTGCAAAGAAATACTAAATCACAATTTCTCTTTCACTTTACTTGCTTCCAAATTTATTGTTGACGTCGTTTGTAATTACTGCAAGCTATCAAAAAATTTTCAACTATGAAGTTAATCAAGAATGATTTTATAAATGACTTTTCAGTTGTATACATTGAAAACGGTTTGAGTCTCAAAATAAAAAATGAATGTATTTTATAAATCTTATAGAATATGAGCCGTCACACGTTGATGTGAGACAATACTCATTAATTCAAATTTTATATGTTATTTTTAGAATAATTTATTTTTATCAAATGACGCATTTCTCCATAAAACATGAGTTCACCAACATAGTCTGTGTGGTGCTCGCACTTGTGCGCAAGCCCTTGAAGTTTAAGTCTAGTACGACCCATGAAGCATTCATGTTTGTACATGCTCGATCCATATACACTTCTGTATTTTGTCTAAACTAAACAACACATACAATTTAATATTAATGTTTGAATAAACACTACTTGAGTTCCGATTTCAAAACTAATCTCTTTATATAAAATATAAATAACTTAAAATAAAATATAAATATAGAAACATCGTCACCAAACATATTTCTAGAGTTTAATCAAAGAATTAACAATAAATCAAATGTAGCCTAGTTGGTTACAATATTCTTTCTTCATTTAAGTAACCAAGGTTCGAACTCCTTTTAATAATATATAAACATGAACTGGGTGTAATGACAAAAGTGACCTTCCTAGAATCACTCTTAGGCTACGAAATTTGAAATGGGAGAATTTCAACCCATGTTTTGCCTTTATGTATCTTGTAGATTTTAAATGTTATTAGAGACAATATGGATAAATCTTCTCCCAAAAATTCGTTTTTCTTTGTCCACCTTGGACTTTTGTTTGGTTTTTTTTTTTTATTTGCTTTTGGACTCTTGTAACTTTTTTTTACGTGATTTTCGGTTACTTTGTTAGAGCTATAAACATTTTTTTAGAATGAATTCAACATATTTTTTAGAAATTCAATTTGAAATTGAATTTTTCGCGTTTGGAATATAAAATAATTTATTTCCGATTCTAAATTTTGAATTGTATAAAATTGGAGTTAGCTATAGCAATTTTGGGTAATGAGATGAAATTTCCAACTGACTTTACAAGTATTTTTACTAAATATATAACCATAACCTCTACATTCTCTAGTAGGGCTATATGGGTAATTGTATAATTAGTTATCAATTATTTTATCGATTAACAGGAAAATCGTTAAAAAAGTGATTCGATAAGATTAGACCAAAATAACTTATAAGTAACTAAGAAAATACCTCATTTTTTCAATTGTGCATTTTGTAGATTTTTCCCCAACATATGTGTTTTCTTAAAGTTTTTTATTATTGAATAAAAAATAATTTAACATAAATATCAATCCCTGTAGGTCTTCAAACATCCTACTATTTTTGGCCTGTATCTGCGGCTCATCGATGCCTATTATTTTCGTCTCTAGCTATGAAGATGTGGTTTAGGACTTGGTGCTCTGCCAGGAGGGCTGACTCTGCTGCTGTCGGTGATGGATAAGGTTTTTGGGAGGCTTCTGCTTTCGGGTTTGCTGGGTTTTTCCTTCTCTGGTTTAGCTGGGTGAGGCTTCCTGGCGGGATTTGGGTCGGGTAGTCTTTGGACTTGCTCTGTTTTGGGCACTCTTCTCGGTTGTAGCTCCTTCTTGTTCGCGTTTTTTTTTCCGTTCTTTTTTCCTTGTCACCGGGCGTGTTCGCTTTCTCTCCTCGTGAAGCTGTGGACTATTGTTTTGAACATTCGGTTTGCTTTTCGTAATATAGTTCATCACCTTCATAAAAAAAACAAGCTAGGTAAGAGTACTGATCAGCTTTTGTAGTGTAGCTTAGTGGTAATTGTAGTCTTCCATTACAGGAAACCTGATTTCTAGTCACGAGATCTTATTCACGGAAATCTTTCCCTTACTTAGAAGTATACTAATAGTCATGGGAAAAATTATCGTATTTATATAGTTTTAATCACAATAATTAATTTGCCTATTTTTTAGTCTTCATTTCCGGTTATTAATTGTTAGTCATAGTGAATTACCGCGAATAATGTGACAATTACCTTTTGGGGTCGTTTGAATGAGGAATTGTAATGAATCAATTTGACGAAACTGTCTTGTTTTGAGACAATTGTACCAAATTGACTTGTTTGCCAACAAAAAATTTGGATGAATCAATTTGCCTGAGGTATTTTAAATTAATCCGTTTTGAGTCAATTTCAATTGTTTGGGGTGAGGGCATGTAATTCGAATTCACTCGTTTATAAAATGAGACAATTGGTCAAATTGGCTCATTTTTAGATTGATCCATCCAAACCACAATTTAGCTGGAAATCAATAAGCATTAAGAACCTTTTTCTTGTAATGTTCTATGCTACAATAGCAACCAGGTTTGATGCTTGCCTGCAACTTCTTTTATCATGTAGACAACATATTCCGCCTAGAAATAATGTTTAGAGGATGGCTTATTGTCACCAAAGTCATGTTTATGGGGACGATATGTTGTCTTTCATGAAAAAGAAACAAAATGACACTCGTGAGTATTAGGAACGAGTAGGACTGTCGTCCCTCGTATTGGGGAAGGTCTATATTTTTATAGTCTCCAAAAGAATAGAGGACAAGCGTATAGGGACAATTTTGCCTATTTCTGGAGACTAATTTTGTCATCCCCAAAGTAGGGGTGGCTATACGGTCCGGTCCGGTTAAATTGGCTCGGATTGATCTGATCCTTGTCCCAGTCTTTTCGAGAATATGAGGATCGAAAATTGGATTAGATGCAGTCTAGTTTTGACCCGGTGCGGTCTTATCCCGGTTCCAATCTGGTCTTGATTTTAGATTGAGCTTAAGGAGGTTTGAGTGGGTTGAGGCCTAAAAGGGTGAGGAGTTTGTTAGGTTATGGGTGTTGGGCTCTCTTATCCTGTATTTACCCAGTTTCCGGTCTAGTCCTTGACGGTTATTTACCTCAAATCTAAATCCAAAGACGGGATTTGACTGTTTGTTATACGGTCCCCGTTCGGTCTCGATCCGGGTATACGATTTGATTTCGGGTAAAACCAGAAAACCCGGACCAAATAGTCATCCCAACCTCAAACCTCTTTTTTTTAGTGTGAGACTTTGCTGTGATGGTTTCCTAAATATAAGGGGAGCAATTGAGCAATTGGCTATTGTGATTTGTGACATTTAGTTATCTGATTCATTTATGATTAATTCAACTTTGTTTTTTTTTTAGTGAGGGCTGGGATAACTATGGCTCTAAATGGATAATGTGGTAGACATTTTTCGTATTAAACCGAGTCAACGGGAATTCCAATCCTTAATTATGAATATTACAAGAAATTTGAATGTCTAAATTCATAGTACAACCAATAGCTCAACGACGGGTTAGGGTAGAGGCAAGCTATAGCCTATATATTAATAACGAATAATTAATTTTTGTTTAAAATAATGAGGTTTTTTATGGGCAGACGTCATTTATTTATGAACCCACTTCTATTGGTTTTTAGGGAATACAAATTCTATTTCAATATTCAGAATACAATGAAAAATAAAATACAACTCTTAGCACAATACCACATACATCACCTCGTAAGAGCCAACCTATTAAATTGGTCGTATTGTAAAATGGGTCCGTGAATGTCTGATCCCTTCAATGAATGAAATTTTACAATGTCGGGAAAATGTGCTGAAATAACAAATAAATTGAGGCAGTATCATTAGTTGTGAATTAAATTTTTTTGAATTTATTTCAACAGAGTTTTCAATCATGTGAAATTATGTGAAAACAGAACCCTAGCCGGGTTACTATGTATACCCCAAGATTATGTGAATTTCATAGTTCAAATTCTAACCATTAATTTGGGAAGAATTAAATATGATAGTCAACATTATTATAAGGGGGTAAGAGGGAAGTAAGGAATTTCGGCACAGTTGCAAATTTTTTAGGCGCTAGTGCGAATTTTCAGACACCATTTAAAACACTTCGTCATAGATTCAAATCAAAGATAGTGTGATTATATTACTCTTTTGCTTAGACTCCATTTCTTATGGAAAAATATCGAAGAACAATCCAAATTTGACCCTTCCTGCTCAATTTCTTAAAAATTTCAACGAATAACATTTTATTCGGATCATTGCTGTGGTGATACGTAGGTAGCAACTATGATAAAGTGAATTACTGAGTACTGTATCAAAAGTATAATAAAATGAATATCATTCGGTAAATTATAGTTAATGTGTGCTTACGAGTTAAAACAAATGAGATATTATACCATTAAGAAAAATAAAAAATATATGTTTTGACTCGTCATATCAAATTCCCCGTTAAATCTGCGTTAAAAAAAGATATAATAACAAAATTACCAGGCCGGTCCTCCTTATCATGATGGCCCAGATTAATTGGGGATGAGTAGCTAATTAAGAATGAGATTCTATAGAGTATGTAGAGTTTGGCTATGCACAAGACTTGCTCCTTGCAACTATATCTTGAATTTAATTATTAGTTTGTCAGATGCAAATTATTATTATATTTTTAGGTTATTTCAAAACCCAAAAGAAAGAAGGAAAAAAAAAACACCCTAAAATGATGCGTAATATCCCTCCAAAAAAATCAGGAAAAGATACAAAGAAAGTAAAAATGACAATCACGGGTAGGTATAATAGCTGGTTAATTAGTATGAAAATGAAGAATTGAAGTATGGAAGAAATGTAAGCAACTTGATCGATTGATTGTATGATGAGGAAAAGTACCTCAGGATCTCACTTAGAATTATACACGAAACACAAGTATGTTTCGAAGAATTCATATAGTCAGATCCAGAGTACTTGTCCTTTTGGATAGCTTGTCGTCGTTGACTCCATTATCCCTGCCACTGCCACTGTCACTAACAAGCCTGGATGATGGCGAGCATAAAGACAGAGATAACTCACTTCCAATGTCTACTTCCGGCTGCCTCTCTTCCTCCGGCGCCTTGGCCTTGTTTGGTTCCCTCAGCTTCAGCGACAGCTCCAGATCAACCTCCTCATCGGCCTTCCTTTTCGCCGACTTCTTCCGCTGCCCTTGTTCTTCTTGCCGTCCCATTAATTCTGGGCCGTGGCCGCTATCTCTGGAATTGATGATAGTAGTGGCAGCAGTTGCATGGGTAATATCATTCCACAAGTTGCTGTTGTTGTTGGTGGTGGCTCTAGCTCTGGCTCCGGCTGCTGCTTGGGCAAATATCCGGTCAGCAATTGGTCCACACAGCCTTGACCTGGTTTCTTGTAGTAAGCGCCGACCCATAATCTCATGAGATCCATAAATGGAGTGGTCACGAGCCCCCCAGGATCCATCTGCCCCATACCTTTTTTTGGTTCCAGCAAAGAAATCACAAGGGGGAAAAAAAAAATGTTACTGCATACAATTATTAATTACAGGAACGGATTGGGACATTATTATGTCAATGCTAGCTAGCTAGCACAGCGTATTCGAGTACCTGAAGCCGGAGGAGGAGGCGGCATGGCGGCGGTGGTGGTTATTATATCCTTGAAGCATTGGGAGTTGGCTGAGGTTATAGATATTGTTGTGATCACTACTCTCCAGAAAGTGGCTGTGGCTGTGGCTGTGCTCACCACCCATAGCTGTGTAGATGGTTTTGGGGGCCAAAATTATATATCAGGAAAATGAAAGGGTAAAAATGGAAAGGCAACAATATATATAGCCCTAGGTAGATGTCGTTTTGCTTGCAAACCCATCAGTAATTAACACACTTTTTTTTTATGGCGTGTGTTCAGATTAGTGGAAGAGAAAGGGAAGAGAGAATTGGGATTAAGACTTAAGAGCCGCCTGACTTAGCCAAGCCTAAGCATGCGGCCGGTTTGACTAATTTAAGTTAAGTAGAAAGAAAGAAAGAAAGAGTACCTTGATGATGATTTGGGTCGTCCGTCTTCTTGCTTCTATACATCTGATCATCATCATAGTCAACACACACACAAAAAAGGGATATTAAGCGCCGGCTTAAGGAGAAGATCAAATTCAAATCAGAAGGAAGAAAGAAAGAAAGAAAGAAAGAAATAGGAAATTAAGGCGGGCGGAGATAGGGGTGTGGTTTGTTTGTTTAGACGAATGATATATACCTGGAGGTGGCTCTTGACATGAGCGATGCTAAGCCCATTAACGTTCATGAGTTGGAGAACCAGCTTGGGAGTAGCTCCTGTATATATATGCAGTAGTGAATCCAATATGTGCAAGTTAGAAAATATCCTCTTCTGTTCTGTTCCTCAAAAAAAAGAAGAAAAAAAAAAGGAAAAAAAAAACAGAAATGACATACTGTCTTGGCCGCCGAGCCTGTCGATGGCTTTAACGAAACAGTGGTGGAGGTCCGGGGTCCATCGCAGCCTGGGCATCTTGGATCTGACGTAAGGCCTCACCGACGGCTTCAGAAGCTGCTGCTTCCCCTCCCCATCGCTCATCTCTTCCACCGTGCTGTTGCTGCTCGAGCTGCCCTGCAGCTGCTGCTGCTGCCCCTCGCCGCCGCCGCTTCCATCCTCGTCATCCTTGTTCTGCTCTTCTTCCTCGCTACTCTCGCAGCTCTCATCCACTTGGCTGCTGCCCCCACCCCTCTTCAGACTGAACTCTTGCATCTCTCTCTCTCTCTCTCTCTCTCTCTCTCTCTCTCAAAATTACCTCCACTGCCCTTCTGTGAGTTTGTTTGTTTTTGGCCTAATCTGGTCTCCTCTGGAAATTAGATCAAGGGCACATGATCAATGATGAGACGACACAAGGTAGAAAACAAAATTAACTTTCTGATTAGGGGCTCTATAGTCCACAGAATTTTCTATCTTCTTCTCTGTCTAATTTGTTCTTAGTGATGGCAAAGATGATGGAGAGGAGGAGAAAAAGGACAGCAGAGGGATTTGGGATTAGCACAAACATTTTCTGACCAAGTGATTTCTGCCCATTGATTACCTTATTTTCTTCCCACAAACTGCTGCTGTTTGTTTTTCCTTATCCTTCTGGTACGTACGTAGGACAAGAGAGGGAATTCTTGTTTTAGAGGCACACGACGAGAGATAGACCTTTGACGACACTAGTCCGTAGCACCACTACTACTGCTCCAGTCCGCGAGGCGAAGAGAGAGAGAGAGAGAGAGAGAGTTGCAAGTTAGGACAAAAGATGAATTTGCAGTGGTGGGGTGGTTCTGCGTGCAAATTTGCCAAGCCCTAGCACAGCTATGGCTACGAAGCCCAGATCTTGACAAAGGAGAAGAAGAAGAAAGAGAAAGACAAGACTCAAGAGGGCGAGAGTGGGGAATAGGGAGTTGGACGAGTCTCACTTTTCAATCTCTTGGGTCATGTACTCCTCTTCAACATTATTATTCATAAGAAAATTATTTATTATTATTATTATTATTATTATTATTATTATCCAAATTCGTATGTTTTTGTTTTTGCCCCTTAAATATCTTATATCATATTCTTCTTATTATATATATATGCTACTGCCCATTTCAAATAATATAGTTTAGTATATTTTGTGCACCATATGGATGGTTTCCAATGCATGGATACACACATGGCCATCCATGTGAATATGTCCTTCTCTGCTGCATGCCTATAATATTGTTGGAATTCTTCTGCATAATTCAGATATGTATGGGTTTCAAATTAGCTCCAACCAATAATAACATTTTGTTTTGGTAACTTTTTTTTATGTTAAGCGGTTGATCATAATTAATGTGAATTTATCAAGGGAGGGCACACATGACATTATTAAAAATTAGGGGATATCCGCATATGATGAAGCGAGGTTTTAGGACATGAGTCACGACAGAGTAAGGTTTTCTGTCAACTATAAACTAGAAATAATTGAACGAAGGCAAGAAAGTGCAATAGAATTGAAAGGAAATGCGAGAGGGATCAGTGAGATTATCGCGAAGAAGCTGATCAATGAGGTTATCCCGAAGGAGAAGAAGAATCGGTTTGGAAGGAAATATGAAAGGCGGGTGACCTGTAATTTATGTTAGCATGATGGTAACACTTTATATGATTCCCCATACCAAAGCTAATATTGTAAAAGAAAAGATGACAAAACAATAATAACACTATATTGATTTATTGTAAATATAAAGGATTGTAAAACTGTATCAGAGGTTGTATTGAAAAATTCAATTGTAGATTTTTTTTATACTGAAATCGTGGTTAACCATAGTTCAACCACTTTATACCATTAAATACTAACTACCAATTTAGTTTCCGATAAAAGTATTTTCTAGTTGAACCGCCGCTACTATAAGATTTTTCAATTCTCGGTAAATATACCTCTTTTATGTTTTTGTGAGTATAGTTGTTGGTGAATGCACTGCTGAGACAAAGCCAGCTCTTAGTTTGATTTACCACTGCTAGTTTCTTCCAACAGGTCTGCTGTGGGTACCCTCGACCGGGACTATATTATTATAACAATTAATAAAATGGTACTTCCTCGATATATATTAATGTTTCAGTTTTCCTTTGGTCGGAATTTTATTGAGACGACATTCTGGAATGTTGTAATTAATGACAGCTGCCTTAGCTTGTGTGAATCGCGATTTTGATCAGTTCAACAGATTGACTGTTGCCCTTCATCTCTCTTCCCTTTAAGCTTCCTAGGCCACTGATGACGAGCTGTCAATTTGTAATTACTCAAATGCGAAGAAACTGTAAGTTGAAAGGTTTTATTAATTCTCAGGATTTACAAAATCCTTCACTTTTAGTACTACAAATCTCATTTAATAGTTGTAATTTGTGAAGGAGATGTCTAATAGTCCCTATTATAAAAGGGGCGAGGGAAATAAAGGATTTAGAAGAGAGCAGACTGGATTTTTTAGGCAGGTTGCCAGATTTTTGAGGCAGCGGGCAATTTTCAAGTGTGCTGTCAAAGTATTGTTCAAATTTTCTCTGAAAATTTAATAGATTATAACTCATTCGTTTTAAATCGGATTCCAAAAAAAAAAAAATATTGTTATTTTTTATGTTCTACAAGAAGATATCCATTTTGATTCAATTTTTAAAGAACACATTCAGGTCATCACATCATTGTTCTACACTATATTACCACTGACAGCGGTATAATATCATAGTGTTATGATCTGGTGTTGGTATGATAGTAATATGATGTTGACATGATGTCTTATGTTTGACAAAATAATTTGATGACATCATATCACTGTTATATAGTGATAATTAGGGGTGGGCAACGAGACGGGGCGAGATATCCGTCCCGTTTGGAGACCAAAATCCATCCCATATCCCAAAACCATATGAGAAACGGGTACCCATTTCCCGTACGAGACGGATAACGGGTACCCATACTACCCATAAATACCCAAAGTTTAAACCACTAAAATTTTAACAAAAGTTTAAACTTGTATTTGCTTAACAATCACAAGACACAAAATACATCCCAATAAAAAATACTCGGTTTGCAAATAACACATTCATGAACAATCACAACACATAGAAATAAATCATTCCAAGCACCAAATTATCAAATAAGAAGTTTCATTCAACACAGCCAAATGGGAGGCATGGTGCTAATTTTTCTTGTGTTGTTGAATGCAGAAAGTGTCCAAATTTTTAGGTTCATGGGAAGTTAAAATCTATAACAGAGAAGCTGAGTCTCACTGAAAGGGTAAGGGCCCTGGGCCCAAATGACAAATGGAATTGAAATTGCAAGGGTGAGGGCCGAAATGGCCAGGGTTCTGAATTGGGTTGGACTGTCTTTGTATTGAATGGGTATAACGGGTACCCATATTAGGAATGTACAATCCCAAGTCCCATCCGTTTATAATATTACGGGTAATATGGGTACCCGTAACCCATTTTATCCAACCTGTTAGGCCTGTTTTGGGTGGGCATGGGTACTCTCATAGATCCGACATGCCCTAACCCGGTTCATTCTCGACCCGTTCTTGTCTAAATTATATGTAGTCTTAATCCAATTATTTAGCATTTTCCTTCTATTACATCATATTTTAGCTATAATAAAGTTATAAATTAGTGAAAACTTCAATTTCTCCAATAATTTAACTACATTTTTCATATTATAGTTTGTTTTTTGGTATTATAATGAAAATAATGAATATTTCTAATGTTTTGCATATAAATTACATATCCATTGGTTCAATCTGTCTCGATCCGTGCCCCATGATAAATTACTCGACCTGTACCCGACTTGCTACGGAACGAATATGAGTATATACATACCCGCCCCGGACCTCTCCGTTGATGTTACTACTTGCAACGGACTAAACAACCCTAGCTAAATTATTGGAAAATGATAGGTTGAGAGATGAAAAATCAAAGAATAAATAGAAAGAAACAAGTCAAATTTATTCTGACTTGCAACCACAACAATTGAAGTATGGGGCCAGGCCTACAATTAATAAACAACAAGGCATGCATTATTGGCAGATCGAAGAATCCGCAAAGTTTGACAAAAACCAGACTCGACAATCTGACTTGAACAACGAAAAATGTCTCATTACTTCATACTCCAGAGAGTATATTGAATAACGTTTTTCCTTTTTATTTATGAGATAATTAATATATGTTAATATTTTTAACCTAATAAGAGTAACTAAGTTACTAGAACGACTTCGCAGCTGGTAAATTCGTTTCAAATGTTACAATAATGATAAAGTAGCCGATAGCTAATTAACCACTAATTGATATAAAATGATACACATTATCACAATTTCATAGTTCAATTTAATTATCCACTAATATAAGTAATTAATCTACATTTTTACTCAAATTGAAACTTTGTTAAAATTAGCCACTACATAAATAAAAGTTAACACAAATTTTTATTTGATTATAAATTAATTTAGATAATTAATTTACTTCCCTACAACAATAAAATAAATCAAATATACATTCAAACATATATTTAATTATCCGAACCAAAGACGAAGGTCCGAAGGAGTCGTTCGGCCTGACGAAGTCCCGGCCGACCATCTCCAGTGGCCCATCATCGCGTCGGCCGAACGTTTCAGGCGAGCAGAACTCACTGCTCTCCACCTCCCTCCGTCCGTCCACGTTTTTTTTATTTTTTTGAATTTGTTGCAAGTGGGAAGTAAAGTTATGAATATTTGATTTTATAGAGTTGGATTTTGAAATTTCAAAATTAAAATAAAAAAAAACCACGGCAAATAGTATTTATGTTGATGACAAATAGCCATTTACAAGATAAATATATCGCATGTCTGAGTTCTGACATAGGCGGATCCAGGGCTGGGCCAACCCAGGCCCCGACCCAGTTCTCCTTCTGATCAAGAGTTAGTTTAGTGCTTATAAAATTTTTCGATTTAGGTATTTGGCCCATTGTTATTTAAAATTCTGTCTAGTTTTATTTGATAATAGGATTTTGTGTAACTAGGAAAGTGGTTCAGATGAACATATCCAAATCATTACTCTAAATTTATACTAAATTTTATGTAGCCCCAATGATTTTATTTGAAAAATGACATGAAAACCTAAAAGTGTAAAGTTTCATTAAATAAATAAATAAACTATAAACTAAAGCACACCCTTCCTTGCAAAATTCAAAAAAATTCCCAATCCCCCCAAAACAAAACAAGAACGAGGAGACGAGCAGACCCAAAATGAATTTCTCTGCCAGCCCGTCGAGCCGGTTTTCTTTCCATT